ATCACTCCTGCCCCCCTTGCTTGCCTGCCTGTGTCTGGGAGGGCAGCCTCTCCAAGCTGGTGCTTCAGCCCTCCCACCCAGCTCAGAGGGTGACGCCTGAGCTTTTATTTCAGTCCCGCCCAGGATTGTACCCACAGCACCGCACCGCACTGCACCGCGAGATGCTCTCAGAGCTGAAAGGGGCCATCGGACCCCGGGGAGGGGCCGTTATCTTGACTCATTTGTGACCTTGAGGGGGTGACACCACCCATCTCTGAGCCTCTCCCTGCAGTGGGCCCAGGAATTGGCAGGCAAATTTAAACTGCCAGGCCAGGAGGCTGGGTCTGTGTCTGCGACGGTGGATTAGGGGGGGTTTGAGGCCAGGCTTGGGGGTCACGGGGACTTGGCTCCTGCCTCCAGTGCGTTTTCATGCTGGAGATGGAGTTTAGTTGCTGATCCCCATAGCTGTTCAGGCGGGAGGTTGTCCCGAGGAGTCCTCTCTCGCTTGCAAAGGAGAGAGGTGCAGGAAGGTGAGGCGGCCTGTCTAGGGCCACACAGCCCCCGCTGGCCTTGAAGCCGGGCAGCAGCACGAGTGCTGGTCCCTTCTTCCTCCTCCCTCCACACCCGCTGCCTCTCCCCCTCGGTTTCGCTCTCACACAGACACACAGAACTGCGTATATGACAGTGACTGGTGGTGCTGTGATGGGCCCAGGCGTGTGTGTGTAATGGTGCGCGTGTTGGCGGGTGTGAAGGAGCTGGGCAGGGCGGCTGCCCTGGCACAGCGCACAGGGTGTGGGCCTCCCTCACAAGTTTGGGAGAGGAAGAGGGGGAGGGGAGGTCAAGAGGAGCCTGGGAGGGAGGGCGCACAGGCTCAGGGCTGGGGCCTTATGCTGGGGGACCCCAGCTGGTGTACTGGTGACCCAGGGTTGCCCTGAGGGGCAGGCCACGGGCCCCCCTGCAGCAGCTCCTCTCTTCCCTCTGGGACACTGTCACCCTTTGGGTCCTCCTAGAGGCCTTGGGGCTGACCCTGACGCCTGCCTGGGAAGCCAGGTGTGTCTTTCCTCAGTGATGGCCCTTTGGGCTTCTGATGGCTCAAGGGTCTCAGCCCCTGGTTGCTGACAGACTCCAACTACCCTGCACCTCGCCCCCATGCCCTAGGCCAGGGTGAGAGCTCTGGGAGAGAAACGTGCTCCCCTGAGCTTCTCTGCACAGCACCCTCCCCTCCTCCTCAAGGCTCCCGGCTCCATGCCACCTCCTGGGTCCTAGGGGAGGCCTTCCCCCAGCTGGATCACTGGTGAGTCTTTGGGCCTCCCGCAGCCAGACTCGTAGCTCCGGGACAGCAACGTGATGTCAAGGAGCTGTGGCACCTTGGTCAGGTTAACACCTCTGTGCCTCGGTTTCCTCAACTATAAGCAGTGAAAAATAACAGTATCACCTCATAGGTTTGTTGTGAGGATGAAATGAGTTAATATTTATATAAAAAGTATTGAGAGTGTCTGGCACTTAGTGGAGAGTAAATGTTAGCTGCTACGGGATTGGAGAGCAGGTCCCCTGGTAGTTTGCTTAAGAAACGATCGAAAGGCTGCCCTGGCTGGTGTGGCTCCAGTGGTGGAGAGTTGCCCCATGCACCAAGAGGTCACTGGTTTGATTCCCAGCCCGGGCTGCTGCTCAGTCCCCAGTAGGCGGTGTGCAGGAGGCAGCCAAAGGATGTTACTCTCCCCCTCCCTCTTCCTCTCTCACTAAAATCAATAAAAACATATTTTTAAAAAAATAAAATAAATGATCCAAGGACTGAGTGAATATTTCCCACATGCTGACATCTGGGACCACTCATCCCTCTCCTCTCCTTCCTTGGGTCCCACCCACACTGGCCCTCGGTCCTTGTCTCACACATAACTCAGGGCCATTGCCCTTGAGTAGGCCACTTTCTGAAGCTCATGTGGCTGCCTCCTTGTCATCACCTCCTCGGAGAGGCCGGCCGTCACTGATCAGCCAGCAGGCGCAGCCCTGTCTGTCCCCCGATCCACTATCACTCTTCCTTGCTTTCTTTCTAGCATTTCTTTGTTGTTGCTCACTGTATGTCTCTCCTAATCCGACTGTAAGCTCCGTGAGAGTGGGGGCCGAGTGTGTCTCACTCACTTCTGTAGCCGCAGCACCCAGTGCTCACTCAATAAATGATGCACACACGAATGAGGAGGTGATGGGACAGGGTTCCCTAAAGTTCCGCAGGATGAGGTTCCTCTGGCCTCTCGACTCGTTACCCCACGTTCCCCTTCTAATCCACTTCGACAGCTCACCTTTTCTCTCTCTCTTTCCTCCTCCAGACACTGCTAACCAAAATGGCGAACTTCACACCCGTCAACGGCAGCTCAGGCAACCAGTCTGTGCGCCTGGTCACAGCAACCCATAACCGCTACGAGACAGTGGAGATGGTCTTCATCGCCACGGTGACGGGCTCGCTGAGCCTGGTGACTGTGGTGGGCAACATCCTGGTGATGCTATCCATCAAGGTCAACAGGCAGCTGCAGACGGTCAACAACTACTTCCTCTTCAGCCTGGCGTGTGCCGACCTCATCATCGGCGCGTTCTCCATGAACCTCTACACCGTGTACATCATCAAGGGCTACTGGCCTCTGGGCGCCGTGGTCTGTGACCTGTGGCTGGCCCTGGACTACGTGGTGAGCAACGCCTCCGTCATGAACCTTCTCATTATCAGCTTTGACCGGTACTTCTGCGTCACCAAGCCCCTCACCTACCCGGCCCGGCGCACCACCAAGATGGCCGGCCTCATGATCGCTGCCGCCTGGGTCCTGTCCTTTGTGCTCTGGGCGCCCGCCATCTTGTTCTGGCAGTTTGTGGTGGGCAAGCGGACAGTGCCCGACAACCAGTGCTTCATCCAGTTCCTGTCCAACCCGGCGGTGACCTTCGGCACGGCCATCGCTGCCTTCTACCTGCCCGTGGTCATCATGACGGTGCTGTACATCCACATCTCCCTGGCCAGTCGCAGCCGAGTTCACAAGCACCGGCCAGAAGGCCCGAAGGAGAAGAAGGCCAAGCCGCTGGCCTTCCTCAAGAGCCCCCTGATGAAGCAGAGCATCAAGAAGGCCCCGCCAGCAGCGGCCCGAGAGGAGCTGCGCAACGGGAAGCCGGAGGAGGCTCCTCCGCCCGTCCTGCCGCCCCCGCCACGCCCGGTGGCCGACAAGGACACTTCCAACGACTCCAGCTCAGGCAGTGCCACCCAGAATACCAAGGAACAGCCACCCACAGAGCTGTCCACCACAGAGGTCACCACGCCTGCCACTCCTACCCCTCGCCTACAGCCCCGGGCCCTCAACCCAGCCTCGAAATGGTCCAAGATCCAGATTGTGACGAAGCAGACAGGCAATGAGTGTGTGACAGCCATCGAGATTGTGCCTGCCACGCCAGCTGGCATGCGTCCAGCGACCAACGTGGCCCGAAAATTTGCCAGCATCGCCCGCAACCAGGTGCGCAAGAAGCGGCAGATGGCAGCCCGGGAGCGCAAGGTGACGCGGACCATCTTTGCCATTCTGCTGGCCTTCATTCTCACCTGGACGCCCTACAACGTTATGGTCCTGGTGAACACCTTCTGCGACAGCTGCGTCCCTGAGACGGTGTGGTCCATTGGCTACTGGCTCTGCTATGTCAACAGCACCATCAACCCTGCCTGCTATGCCCTCTGCAATGCCACCTTTAAAAAGACCTTCAGGCACCTGCTGCTCTGCCAGTATCGGAACATCGGCACTGCCAGGTAGACAGGCAGGGGCGTCATAGGAGGTCCTGGCGGTCGCATGTGTGTGCTGGGGGACCACATGGCTCAGCTGCTGTGGGGGCAGGATTTGGAGGCACCTCTCGTGTTCACAGTCGCTGAAGAGGACTGAGGTCCCAGACCCTGTGAGGCTCAGGAAGCTCTGGCTGGATTCAGAGAGACCAGCTCTTTGCTCAGAGGAGGGTCAGCCCTAGGAAGGGTCTGAACCAGGACTGCCTGACCCATCTCTCTTGTCCTGCCTCAGGGAGCTGGGGGCACTGGCCTCCGTGGGCACCTGCCCTATGACTAACCAGTGGGGCTGGAAGAATGGACATCTGGAGGGGAGCAGAAGCCAGGACCCCCTTGGGAGGAGCAGAGGCCAAAGCTTAGGAAAGGAGACTCGGGAAGGACTAGGGTTCCCCATTCTGTTGTAATCGGTGCTTTCTGCCCCCTTGCACCCTGCATGAAGGCTCAGCCCCCTCTCCCAAACCCCACTCCTTGCTGCAGCTACTCAGCCAGGTACTGGTTGGATGGGTGGGCTGGCTGGAGGCCAGGCAGAGTGGGCTCTGGGGCACCCCCTTCTGCAGCACAGCCCTGGCCAGTCAGGATGGGCCAGCATGTCTTCCATTCACTCAGGAGCTGAGGCCTGGCCTCCCATGGTCCCAGCCTGAGCAGGGAACAGTCCATCTGATTCTGAAGAGCCCTCCCCTCCCCAAGTAGAAGGCTCATCCCAGGTCACACCTAGTGAAGGGGGGGATGTGACCCAGTGAAGGTGGGGCTGTGGTGGGCAGTGTTCCCTTGGCCTCTGCAGGGAGGGAGGCCTGGGTCACCAGAGACAAAGAGATGGACTTTGACCCTCCTCTGAGATGGACCCACAGATTTCAGTGCCAGTGAAGGCGGGGTTTAAGGCTGGCAAGCAACCCTTATCTTTACTCTCCTAACCCATAGAACCTTCCGGATTGGCAGTGGCCGGACCCAAGGACCTTTGCCTGGGAGTGTCAGCCCTAGTCTTGCGGGTTCCTGCCCCAGCTGTGGTGTGGCCCCGGACAAGGACTGAAAGGCTCAGAGGACTCGGGGCAGTGGGGGGCCTTGGAAGAAATTTCAAAACTGGTCTTTTTCTATGAGCTCCAGGGAGCACCGAGCCCCCAAGAAAAACCACCTTTCCCTCCACACTCTCCCCCTCCCAACAAATTACCACAGCAAAATCCCCAGGAAGGGGCTTTTATATATTAAAAAAAAAAAAAAAAAGCTTTTATTGGGAGAAAATGAGTTTTATTTGTTTTTTAGCAATGGCATCATGGTGGGTAAGAACAGGGGCATGGGAACCAAATTCCTTTGGGGGAGGCTCCAGCTGCCAGAATCCCTTGTCCCTCCCCACTGTGGGCACTTGGGGGGTGGGGGAGGGCAGGGCATGATTGATAAAGCTGAAGAGTCACAAAAGGCACTGGTGGGTTATACTGGGGCTGGGGGAGGGAGCACGTGGGCCAGGGGCTCTTTGGATTCAGGCCTGGCCTCTAGTCCTTTCCCTTCCCTTTCTTGGCTGTAAAACAAGAAAGAAATACCGTGTTAGGAGAATTCAGGTGATCCCTCCTCGGGGAGAAGGAAACTCTGCCCCCTAGTGGTTCTCAGTCAGGGGACCTGAAAGCCGGTGGGACAGGGCAGCCATTACGCTGCTGGACCTCTCCCCTTCTCCAACTTCAACTTTCACCGGGGATCAGATCACCTTCAAGTCCCAGCCCCGCCACCCTGGGCAACAGCCGCGCCTCCTCATCCGAGGGCGGCCCACTCACCTCTGCCCCGTGGCCTCTCTGGGCTGCTGGGACTCAGGGGTCAGATAAGGACAGAGGACCCACGAGCAGCGAAGCCCCTCCCCACTCAAAGGGCACAGCTGACCAGATGCCCCACTGGCTGGACAGGGGACAAAGCCCTTCCAGGATGCGCCCTGGACCCTAAGCCAGACGCCCCAACGGAGCAGCGTGGCCGCCCTCACTGGGGCCAGAAGGAATTCACGTCACCTGAGCACCGGGGTCCATGCCCCCCTAAGGCCTCTCTACAGACAGGGGAACTCACGCACCAGGGCCCCACACCTCAGGCTTAACCATGCCCCTCACAGGTGGGGGCAGCCCCCTCCCCCCGCAGCTGACCTTTGGCCTTGGCTTTGGTCTTGGGGGCACAGGGCTTGGTGACGCGGATGGTCTCCTGGCACTGGGCGTTGTACCGCGCCTTCTTCAGGGTGCCTTGGCGGGCTTTGGTGCCCGAGCTCCCATCGCAGGACCCCCAGCTCTCAAACTTGTACTTGCAGTCGGCTGGCAGGAGAGCGCCCGGGGTCAGAGCGGGGCTGCCCGTGGCCTCCCGCCAAGGCCTGCCCGGCTTCGGGGGGCCGTCCGTGCCCCGTCCCGGCCCCCGCCGCGCCCCTCTCACCTCCGAACTCCTTCTTCCAGTTGCACGGCACCCGGCAGCGGAGGCGTTGGGTCTGGGCCCCGCAGGTCCCTTCGCGGAAGCCCGCCCCGCAGTCCTTGTTGCTGGGGGTGCAGGGTCCCCAGGTCCACTCGGCGCATTCGCTCCCCGGGCCGCCCTTCTTCACTTTGTCTAAAACGCACGGGGAGCAGCGCTCAGGACCTGGGGCACCCGTTCCAGGGGTCCGGGCCTCGGAGCCCAGGAGGCCAGCCCGAGGCGGCCGGCCTCACCTGCCCGTCTCCAGCCTCCTCCGCCCCCCACGCCTGACATCACCTTTCTTTTTGGCCGCCGCGGAGGTGAGCGCCAGCAGGGCGAGGAAGGCGAGGAGGAGGAAGCCTCGGTGCTGCATCCTGGTGGTGGTGGTGGTGGGGGGGGGACACGGGTCAGGGGAACGCGCCCGCCCTTCCCCTCGGGAGCCGCGCGCTGGGACCCCCGCCAGCCTCCCCATTTTCCAGGCCCAAAGGGCCCGACTCCTCCGGCGCGTACAGCCGGGAGGCGCCCCCAGGACGCAGCTCAGACCCCCCCCCCCCCAGCCTCCAGCCTCCAGCCCTCGGCCGACAGCGGCCCCTCCGGCCCGCGCGCTCACTCGCTGGCTGCCCGCGAAGCCTCGCTCCCTCCTGCGCTGGCCCGTCCCGCTCAGGCCGCTGCGGCCCCTTTTGTCTCCAGAACCGGTATGAGCCGGTCACATGGGCCCCCGCCCCCTCCCCCGTTCTCCCCCCACCACCGAGGAAGGGCCCGCCCCCTCCCCACAAACCCGCGCCGCCCCCCCCGCCCCCGGCGTCCCCGCCTCCGCTCCCGCTCCGCGTTCTTGGCGCCTCCACCGGGCTTCCCGCCGCCCGTCCCGCATCCTCGTTCGCCCGCCGGTGCCCTCCGCCCTCAGAGGCCTGGCCCCCCACTTTCTGAGCCCAGGGTCCCCGGACCCCAGGCCTGCGCCTGGCCCTGCTCCCCCGGTCCCCGGCCCCGGGCCCAGCGCTCTATCCCCGCCCCCCGCCCCCTCCCAGGGGCCGCCCCACGCCCCCGAAGGACGCCCGCCTCCCTGCCGAGCCTTCGAGGGGGACCTGGACGGAGGTCGGACCCGGGGTGTCTCTGGGCCCGCGTTCCAGCTCGTGTGGCTCCGTTCCCCGCGCCCCTGGTGCCGCTTGCCCCGTCGGGGTCCCGCTCCACGCCCCCGGGCCTGCGCGCCCCCCGCGCCCCCCTTGCAGCTGGAGAGGCGGTCGGGGCAGCCCGCAGACGGCTTCGCTCGCGGGCAGGGAGGCGCTTGGTTCCGTGGGGCGCTCGGGACGGGAGCCCCGGAGGCCGCTCACGGGTCGGGAGGGGGTGGCGCTGCCTTTCCCGGAGCGCAGGTTTGGGGGGCGGGGGGGAGTTGGAGGAGGAACCCGCAGGCCTGGATTGGGGAAGACCTGGGAGCTGACAAGTTCTGAGAAGTTCCAGACGCGGCCTCGGCGGCAGCAGCACATACCCACCCTGGGAGCTGGGGACCACCTCCCCGACCCCCCTAATCAGCGGAAGCCACTGAGGCCTGGGGGAGGGGGCTTGCCCGAGGCCACGGGGCAGAGCGACCTAAGAATCCAGTCCTGCCCCTGCCTCACTTCTCTTTCACTTTCATTGTTATCGTCCCTGCGGGAAGCGGGAAGGGGCGGAACTCAGCTCCTCCCTCCGCCCCACCGAGCTAGGCAGCCCGGCAGAGGTCAGGTCCGGGGCAGGCCCTGGGGCCCACCGCCTAAGAGAAGTTTCTGGGTCCCCGGTGTCCAATCCCCCCACTCTGAGGATACCCCAGCAGACGCCGCTGCTTCTGCCAGACTTCTCCCGCAAGAAAAGAAATGCAGAAAGGAAAAAAAATCTCTTTACTGAGTCACACCCAGCTGTAAACAAGTCACCATGGGAGCCCCACCCCAACCCCCAGACCACAGTCCTCGAGGAAATACTGGGGAAGGTCAGTGGGGCAGGTGCCAAGCAGGGCAGCGGGCAGGCAGATGCAGCGGCTCCAGGTTGGTGGGAAGATGGGGTCAGAGCAGGAGTGGGGACTGAGCTCCCAGGCGCCTCAGAGCAGGGCCCGTAAGGACCAGGTGGCTAGGAGGCTCCCCGATAGAGCTGCCCCCTCTGCCCCTCCCACACACTAGGGAGGGCCCCCACTGAGGGCGAGGGCCGCCTGCGTGGCCCAGCCCCAGCTCCCCAACGGCCTGTCCAGTCCAGTCCAGGCTCCTCCTCCCCCGTGAGCCTCCAGGTCGGCCCTGGGCTCAGGGGTGTAGGTGAGATGCTGCGATTCCTCAGTCCAGCCCTCGGTCAGGGCGGCCGCTCCGGGCGCAGCCGCGGCTCCTTCCTGGGGCCTGGCTCCCCTGGCTGCCCGGCTGGAATGTGGCAGTGAGGAGGGCCGTGCTCCGGCCCGTGCTGTCTCTCAGCACTGGCCCCAGCTACACGGCCGTCTCCTGGTCCTCCCGCTGAACCATCTGGTAGTGCTGCCGGTTCTCCAGGTAGGCGGCCAGCTCCGTGTCCTGAGCCTTCTCTGCCCGCTGCCGGGGAGTGTCGCCCTGGAGGAGGGAGGAGCCGTGGCCAGGCTGCGGGTGGGGGAGGGAGGCCTGGCCGCGCTGGGCCAGCCCCACCCCAGCTGGCTCAGGTTTCTTAAGGTTGAGGAACAGCTTTCAATCCCGAGGTGGCTGCCCTCCCGAGGCTTCCCTCTCACGGGGCCCAAGTCTGGGAGAGCGTTGGTCGGGGCCTTCGTGGGCTCCTTGCCCACCCCGTGGATCTGCTCACCTGCTGGTCTGTCTTCATGAGCGAGGCCCCTGCTTCCACGATGTAGTGGCAGATGGTGCGCTGGCCCAGGGCCGCTGCCTGGTGCAGACAGGTCTCCCCGCTGGGGGACAGGGGCTGGCTGTGGACCCCATCCAGTCCTCTAAGGCCCCCCCACCCCCCATCAGTCTCCCGAGGGCCATCAGGAAGGGCAGGAAGTTTGGGGCCCTAGGATAAGGGGGTGTGGCCTAGAGGACGACAGATTGGCCGGAAAGGGTTTATGGGCTCCCACCAGACCAAGCATGAGGGGTTGGATGAAGACTGGGCGGTTTCCAGGGTAACCAGGGTCCTGCACTGCCAGATACTCACTTTTCCTCTACAGCATCAAGGATCTCTTGGGGGGCTGGCGGAGAGGGGAGGGACAGGTCAGAGGCCTGGCAGCCTCTCTTCCCTCCCCAGGGCCCAGCCCAGGGCCCCAGCGGCACAGCTTACCGTGGTCCAGCAGGTAGCGGACCACTTCCTTGCTGCCAGTGCTGACTGCGTGGTGCAGGAGCGTGCGACTCTGACCATCACGGTGCATGAGGTCCCCCCCAGCTTGGTGCAGCTCCTGGAGCTGAGGGCAGGAGGCAGAGCAGGGCTGGGGCTCCTCTGGCCCAGCCTTTCCAGCCACAGAAACGCCCCCCAACTCACAGGCTACAGGCCTGGCACTAGCGTGCTCACACACATCACTCCCTAGGGGCTGCTGGAGGTCGTTCTGGAGTGTCAGGGCTCATCTCACCCAGAGGACCCAGGCCCTGGAGCCCGCGGTTCCTCTAATACTCGCTCCTTTCTGAGCACCAGGGACAGGCTGACTGAGCTAGGAAGCCCTTAGGAAGGGACACATTGTGGGTGGACAGGGGCAAGGCAGAAGGGGACAATCACCACGGAGACCCTGCTGAGGGCAAGACGATGACAGATGACTGTGCCTGGACAGGCCAGCTCTTGGCCCACCCAGAGGCACCACTCCCCACTGCCGGAGGGGGCTGCCGAGGAGAAGACGCTGGAGCCAGGGCACTGGTACCTTACAGAAGTCGTTCCTCTTGGCAGCCTCAACCAGCTCTTCACCTGCAGGAACACCTGCCTGTTACCTCCAGGGCTGGAGGCCTGGGCTTGTGTTGGTGGGTGAACATACGCATGGGGCTGCTGGGCATGTGCACCGAGGGCTGGGCTCACGGTGAATGTGACCATGTGTACCTCAGCAGTTGTGTCTGCGTCAGGCTGTGTATGGGCCCACCTCCCACCACCTCATCCTTATGACCAGGGAGAAGCCTCACCTTTAGGGGGTGCAGCATTCCCTGGCAGTGACCTACAAACAGAGTGGGATGAGACATGACCCAGCTACCGCACAGGCCAGCTTGTCCCCCTCCCAGCCCCAAGCAGGGGCACCCTTCATTCTTTCAACAGTTTATTGCGTGCCTCCTACAAGTCAAGTGCTGCCCTAGGCACTGGAGATACCACAGTGACCCACAGTGACCACGGCAGACGGAGAACTGGCTCTCAGGGAGCTTACATTCTAGCCAGGGAGACAAAGTAGACAAATAAATAAAGTCTTTGAGAGCAGGCAGTGCTATGAAGAACACAGGAGGACAGGGTAGTGTAACTGAACGGCAACTTCAGATGAGGTTCCCAGGAAGACTTCTCTGGGGAGGAAACACCCCGGTGTAGGTGTGAACGGAAGGGGTGGCTCCGTGAAGAACAGGAAGTGTCTGAGGCAGCAAAGGCAAGTGCGGAGGCGGGCAGACTTGAGGCCTCAGAGAACCGAGAGGCAAGTGGGGCCGGCCTGCGGCGATGGAGAGGAGAGGGCAGGCACAGGCCGTGTGCCCTGAAATGCCCACAGGGTACCGAAAGGTTCTAGGCTGGGAGCAGGAGAGCTGGAGGCAGGGGCTTAGATGGGTGGTGTGATCAGATGTGGGGGAGCCGACAGGACGCTGAAGGGTCATAAGGGTGGGAGGAGGGGTGGGGCCACAAAGGCAGCTTAGCTGAGTGTGAGGCCTGCACTCAGGGAAGTGGCTGGGGCTGAAGGCAGAGCTTCGGGAGCTGCTGGATTATAGGTGGGACTTAAACCAGGGACTGGAGGAGCCCGGGACTCACCGGGGTGTGGGTGAGCAGGGGGAGGTGGGGAGAGGAGAAGTGGGGGTTGGGAGGTCAGGCCGGGCCGATGCCCCCAGCAGCTCTGGGTCCAGGATATAAATCTCGTCCTGGGCGATCTCAGTCACATAGTTGAGATGTTCCTGTGGGTAGTGAGGCCAGGGCCCAGGGTCAGGGCTGGGGGTCACAGCCTTCCAGGGCAGCCAGTGGGGGTGCAAGGGCCGCAGGCTAGCAGACTTGAAGAAGCCTCTGCTCTGGACGTGAACGCTGGCAAGAGGCAGTCAGGCAAGTGGCTGCCCCTCACCTCTCCATTCACCCCTCCCCTTTCCCATCCCCAAGCCTAGGCACTGACTCTGTGTACTGGGCCTACCAGCCCCTTCCCACTGGTAAACCTTTTCCCAGGCAACCTGGCCCCTGGTCAGATGTGCTTTTTCTTCTGTGTCTTCCTGGATGGCACCTGCACTTTGAGGCCCTCCCACCCACACAGCACGCCTTTTCTGGGTACAGTGGCTCCCTTTCCCTGTTGGCACCATCCCTGCACACCCTGTCCTGGAGGGCAGGGCCATGCCTGTCCATGGACATGGGTGATCTGAATGCTATGGAACACGAAGACGGCTGTAGATGGAGCAGGACGGCGAGTGCTCACCTGGGCCCGGTCGATCCTGTAGAAGCGGCTGGCAGTGGTGGCTGTGGGAGACAGTGAGCTGGCTGAAGATGCAGGGGCCCATGTCCAGGCCCAGGTCTTCTGCTGCCCCGACCCAGGACCCCCCAGGGAGGAGGCAGGATGTGGACTGGGGCTGCCAGGAGCCAGCCCTCAGGGCCACTTACCGTCCAGGAAGCACCACTTGGGGGACAGTTTTTGGCATGTCGGGGACATGGCTCCAGCACCTTCGGGCTCCTGGTGAGAAGAAAGGCCGGGGCTGGGTGAAGACGGAACCTGGAGCAGGAGGGAACAGCACAGGGCGGGCTTGGGCCCCGCCTCCGTCCTCACCTGCTGGAGCCTCTCGATGTGGGCGCGGCAGAGCTCGAGGTCACTGTCTCCTGGGACCACCACAGTGCCCAGTGGCACGGCTGGAAGACAGACAGGTTGTTAGCAGCCGGCTATATCCCACTGCCCTTCCCTTAGGGGACTCTGGCTCTTCAGCTGCCCCACCCCCCCCACCCCTCGAGCACTGCATGCTGCTTACAGGCTTCCTTGAGCTGCTCCTTATCGTAATGCAGGGCGTCGTAGTCGTGCATGCTGACCCTGCTCACTTGGATCCGTAGCTGCTCGGGCACCGGCTGCTGGCTGAGGGCAGGGGCAATAAGAGGGGACTTGGCAAGGGCCCTGTCCAGGAATCTAGCCAAGGGTCTCCTCCCAACCTCCCTGGGGCAGAGGGACTATTAACCACTTTCCAGTTGGGGAAGTCAAGGCTCAGTGAAGGGCAGAGTCTGGCCTTGGGCCCAGGGCACATGGAGGCTGTGAAGGAACATACTCGCT